AGGTCAGGTTTCACGCATTTTTGCCCTCGGCGATCGCGCGCCATTTAACCTGTCCTACCTATTACCCTCGTTCCCGATCCCTTTCTTTTCCCAGCTCGCGGAGTTCCTCGATCACCCCGGCGACCACACGATTTCTCAATTTCTCCCTGTGCTTTACGATCGGCCGGGAAGAGAAATTTTCCCTCCGTGCTGATCCATGCTGGATTTTATTTTACGCATACAACCGCGCACGAAGAAATCGCAATAAAACGAAGGAAAAACAGGGAACAGCTTCTGAAAGGGTCGCTCCGGTGAGGCTCTCGGTTGCGAGGAGGTCGCCCGACGGAGCATCTCGTGCTTTTCCCTTTTTACAATGAATCGGAGGTCGATTCGAAAGCTCGGTGGCCGCGCGAGTTGCCGGCAAGGGAGAGCCATTTAATAATTTAAGAGAAGCCCTCCGGGCATGACTACTTTACACGTTTCTGCGCGCACAATGCAACGCTGCGAGCCAGTCGGGTTCAGTTTAAACAGTCGTCCCGGTGCATTATGCTTTCGCGCGTTTTGTGTTTTTATACGAGGAACGGGATTGTCCGTGTAACGACAATAAAGTTCTGGTATTTGTTGCTCGACGGTTCAGTGCCGTGAGAGCTTAAAAGCTTCCGCGAAAACCCAGTAATCGCGCGCGCAGTTTTCAGAACTGCTCGAGAATGCGCTCCTAAGCTTTAACTGCTCCCGGGGGAGGACTAGCGGTCTTAAAAGGCTCTCAAACTTAGCTTTTGGAATCCAAAGTTCATCCGGGATGAGCTATTGTTCCTTGGAGTCCACGGGGATTCGGCTCTAGAGTACAGAAGGTAGAGTTTCTGAATATTAGAATCCAGAAGAATTCGGCTGATTTGCCTCCAAGGTCCGTCAGGATAGAACTTTGAGCTTGCAGAGTTCATCGGAGCGGAGCTTGCGACATTTAGAGGTTCATTCAACTGAAGTTTATCGTCTTCTCAATATCAGGAGATCAATCTTCTCGTGTCTAATCACTGAATGCGCGTTTACGAAGTTCTACCACTGGCAAACTACAATTTACAACCATCGTACGACCTTTCGACAGAGCTGGCAACCCTCGGAAGCCCTCAAAGATTCCCTTATTGCCCTGAAGAGCGTATCGAACGCAATCCCGTGATATCTCATTTCGCAAAGGTCGATTTTACTACCCTCCCGTGTCACGGCGACCGCAAACGACCTTCGAATCGAGCTTGCGACCTTCAGGCTCCCATTCCAATCGAATCCTCCGATCGTTGACGCTCGATCGGCTTCTGCAGTAAACTTCCTCTCAATTCAATGAAAACCTCCGGCTCCGTCCATCAGCCGAATGCGTTATTTTGCAAACGCAGCGATTTAAAATGCCCTCCGAAATAAATTCACCTTATATACGGGACGCTCCGTAGGCAGGTAAATGAATTATTCAAACGGCAGAAATATTCCAGGGAACGCATTTTCGAGCCCGGAGCAATAATCTCGGATGCTGAAAGAACGGCGCGGCACGGAAAACGCGCGAATTAATTTCAAGCCTGACTTCCGGCGCGCGTTTCTCCGTATCAGATATTTTACGGACGACCGTAGGACCTGGAAACTGTAAAAAGCTCGACGGTCTGGAGGTCCGGCCGATTATCGCAGTCAAACGATCCCGTCAACGAAGAACTCGCCGGGAAAATAGAGACGGCCGGACTCGTCCGCGCGTCAAATTCAATTCTGCCGGTCACTCGCGATCATTCTTCGGGAGCTGCCGGTGACTTGCTTTCGCTCGCAGAGAAGGCGGAAAAAGCAGAGAAATAATTTCAAAAAGAGTGATGGATGTTGCGCCAGAAATTGCTACTGCGACAAGAGCAGATTTATATGGAATAATATTGTAGAGGTACAATTGAGTACGGTTAAAGAATAAAATATATATCTGAGAAACCGTAAGTACACATATTTCAACTAACGAGGAACGACAGCGTTGCACGACTGACCTCTTCAGCCGCGCCAATAATTTCTGTTACAATGAAATTAATTAATCCACGATATCCATCTCTCTCGGAATGTTATACTCTCCAATCGTAAATAAGACCGATGACGAAAGCGCCGCAGTGTGAAACAAATTCCGGCGACGTGTAAGCTCGCAGCGTCGCGTCATTAACGCCGTCCCGCTGATTTAAATGGAGTAGAAAAGCGTTTAACGTAAGCGTGACACGCCTGTAACGCGACCCCGTTAATTTCGCTGCATTGATTTAAACCGCGCGGAAAAGCAATTTAACTGGCCGCGGTGGCGACGTGACGGTGCATCGTACGTCGTTAAAATTAAAAACGAAGAGACCAACAGAAATCCGCGGGGGGCGCGCGGCCGGGGGGAGGGGCAGGGTGGAACCACTTAAGTGCCATTAAACTCGCGCGCGCGTCCAGGACTATAATAAATTTCCAATTGAAATTCGTACTCGATTAATGCGACCGAGCGGGAGCGCGGGGGAGGGGAGGAGAGGCTTCGATAGGATAAAGTGACTCCGACGTCTCTCATACAAATTCCGGATTTCTCGATGGAAATATTTGATTGCATTTCATCGGGAATAAACGTCCCCTCGCGCTTGTTTGTTCCGCGCTCGAAACGTTAATTGCTGGCCCGACGCGCACGCTAGCGCCAGTTCTCGCGGCCGGTGACAATTGACACCGGCCGCTGTCTGTAAATTAATTTTTCCACCGTAGAAAAAGTGCGTCGTTTAACTTGTTAGCCAACCGATTTTCCGATATCCAACGGCCCTGGCCCTTAAACGAGGAAATAATTTGACGGACGTGCCGCGAACGCAACGGTAAAAGGACGATTGTTCAATGGCAACCCGCCGTGTCGTGTATGCTCGGCTGCTCTATAAATTCTAATCTTCTGCGGCTGATTGAATATTTTTTCCGTGCGTTGAATAAATTTATATTCATTTCTGAGCATTTTCAGCTGTGACTTCTATCGAAATTCCGTTGACATTCTGCTGCACTCGTCGCTCGTTAATCGCGAGTTGCTTCATTGGTCGCTTGGAACATTCGAGGAACGATTCTTTGTTCGTTAAACTGAATGATAAGGATGGTGGGAAGGTACTGTAGCTCGCAAGGATCTAACGAGACCCTGGTGGATGGTAACGAACACGAACGACGAGTTAATTTGTCGTCCCTCGTTTAGGCAGTAGACAATAATAGAAAGCTAGCGCATTGACGAGCCGTGATTCGTTCAATGGACAAAGCAGACGGAACAGAGCTGTCATTTATCTCGATTAAGGCACGGGGAGCTTCGTCGCGTACAAATAAGCTGATTACACGATCGTCAAAACGTTTACAAAGCCGTCAAAGCGGGGTAACCGTCGAAGACTAATTAGCGGCGGTTTCAGCGTAAAGCGAGCCGTACCTGTACGGAGTGTGTTCATCGTTTGACGAACGAAATCGTGCGGTATCTTTGCCATAGACCGCGGGACAACGATTCACCGACCACGGACGGTGGTATTTGATAAACCTAACGTCATACTGGACTCTGTACTGCGTACAGCCGGACTGTATTCCCGCACTGAATCGATAGTCGCTACAAGTGAGAACCAGAAACCAGAATTTCTCGTAAATTCCTAGAATAAATTTATTTACTACGGATCGTAAATCTAATCGAAAGCTTATGACAATACCGTACAATTATTGTTATAATACGTTATTAATATTTATACAACGGACCACGTTCCAAAGCACTATTAATATTTATGCATGAGATTAATCTTCAAAGCAGCAAAATCTCGCGAAACTACGTTCACGCTGGACGCGAGTACTATTAATCTATCGTCAACCTCGAGCAGAATGAAAACTCGCGAAACTACTTTCATACTACATAGTTCGGAAAAGAAAGGGCTGCTTAACAATTCAAGAATCTCGCTGTATAAATCTCGCGGCGAGAAGAACGGCGTAGTGCGAGGTGAAGGGAACTTTCGTGAACTTGAGGAAATTAAGGTGGGCGATCGAAGTGTGCCGTTTAAAAATTCCAAAGTCCGACGAGCCCGGGATTCGAGAGCGAGCGTTGCGTCGCCGGGAAGGGCATCGGGTGTCAGGAATTGATAATTCGACCGGGCCGCGGCGCGAAACCTCGCGAAAGTGGAGCGAAATCGCGCGGGTCGCGTCCTCCCCCCGCTAATCAGCTTATGAATTATTTACGCCGGCTCCGAGAGCCGCGCTTAACCAACCGGATTTCTGATTAAAACGGCTCGGTACACGGAACTCCGTGCGAAACACGTCGGGACCGACGGAACGCATCGAATACATGATCGAAACGCGGGAACGTTTAAATCATCGTCGCCGTAACGGTAATACCGTCTTCATTTCGAGCCATTAACGTCCGGTGACCCATTCGCGTGACACAATTCGCTGGAATTTTTCGCGACGCCCGCGAATTAACGGTGACAGGGGAATTAATAAAAGGAAAATATCGCGGAACCGGGGACCGGACGTTAATGGGTTAATGATTTGTTTCGTTAATGGTCGTTAGCTTTTAAATGGAGGGGAATATACGCGTCCGCGGCGTGACGGATATTAACCATCATCGTTGTGTTCCTGTAATGGCTATTTTCGCGCGCATTACGCGCGAAACACGGCGGGAATAAAAACAAATTAGAGGGAGGTTTTAATCCTCGGCGGCGGCTGGAAAAACGGTCGCGTGAAATTCATTTAAATGGTTTCAGCGTAACGTACGCGCGGTTACATTTTTGATGGCCGGTGGCCGTCGAATATTTTACCGTTCGAAATTCGCCGAGTAATTTTTTGATTAAGAAATTTGTCGAAACAATTTGTTTTACTTCCGAGCCGGTTATTAGGTTGTATTTTATAATAGATTCGTCGTGCGTAACGCGTGAAGTGATCAAGTGTTTAATGTTCAATTGAAATTGACCGCGGCGAGCTGCGATATAAATGAAACATGATTGATTACATTAGCGGCGTTGCAGCCGCATTTGGTAATTTTATATGAATTTCTGTTGCAGGTAACCTGTTCGTTATAGCGGCGATTTTGCTCGAGCGGAATTTACAATCGGTGGCGAATTATTTAATCGTCAGCTTGGCCGTTGCCGATCTGATGGTCGCCTGCCTCGTCATGCCTTTCGGAGCCGTTTATGAGGTACGTCGGCTGACGGGTTTATTACGCGACGGCCCGTTATGCTCGTGCAATCTGTTTTGAATCTCGTTCCCCGCGGGACAAAAGAACCCTCCATAGAAAAAAAAAAGTCAAAGAGAGACTTTTTCTATCGATTCAATGCATTTTCTATACGGTTGCATGGTTAAAAAAGCGGGGCTAAAAGAAAAACGAAATTATTAACGATCGAACTATTGGACCGGCCTGGGAAACTTCCATTTCAGGTGTCCTCTTTTAGGAGTAATTGAAATTTTATAGACCAGATATAAGGGGGAACGACTAAAAAATCCTCTTCCCGCGGATTTATTTGGAACCTGTGGATATTCAGAAATTACGCTGGAGACAATTAACAGAGGGATTTTTGGATGGTTCGTGTGTGGGATAGTCTGTACGGTAACGCGTAATTAAGCCTATTCGATTCGATCGAGCTTACAGTGATGAGGGTCGCGTCCCTCTGTTTATACAAACGTTATGTTCATTAATGCTGACCAACGAGCTTGTTAGTTACAGAGTTTCCCATTCTCTAAGCTTCATCGAAACCGCTTAAAGCTCGGTATCGACGGTCTCGCTGAAATCGAGGGTTTCCTTGGTCGAAATTGAATCTTGCGATCTAATGGCTGGAAGGTTTGCCAAGCCAAGGAAAGGCTCGTTTCGCACGTATCTGTTTGACGAATTTAATCCTCGAATGATCAATACTAATTCGTTTAGGATCACCTGTTGCTGCGAATATCTCGAAAATCGTTGGCTTTACTTATTGCTGATATGCATGAGAAGAACGCCTGCGATAATTAGGCTAATCAAACAATCATAATAGAAGCTTGAATTAATACAATCGATAACGGGTGAGAGAATTTTGTAATCTATTCTCGACAAGCATTTAAACTCATGGCAGAATGTCTGATCGTTATCTACCAAATCTACTTGTTCCAACTGAACGGAATTTAATCCAGAATTGGAGCTTCCATTTAGAAGAATTTCACTGTTGATGTTTAATATACTAATGTACTTCAATTAAATGATCGAAAGCCTATAAAAACAGAAATCAGAGAATCGGAAATACGTCAGGTGGGGAAATGAAAGTTGTCAGCGATGACGATAGAGAGTCCCGCGACACTGTTTTCACCCTCATTGATATTCAATTTCATTCAGTCGCCGCCGGGGGTAGATTGTTTCGCTTTAATGTATTCCAACGGATCCGCGAAATCTTCGGAGACAAGGATAGCCCGATGTCCCCCGGCGATGATGTATAATTAAACGGACCCTCGTTACGTAAGAAGCTCGTTACACCGTTGTTCTTCGGGAATTAATTACCGTTTGGAAGTTTGTAAGACGATTATCGAGCAACTCGAACGATCCCTCGGCGTCGTACTAGCCGAATATTTCCCCAGTCGTGTCCCCTTCTCTTTTCGCCGTGTTTCGCATTGTCGCGATGCTCGCGTGACACCTGCACCGGGTTATTAGGAAGACAAACTTTCTGTAAGTCCGCAGGAACCGCAACTTGCGGCCTGTATCAGGGAAAAGGTGGGTGGTTTGATCCAATTTGCTAGTGGAGCACTAGATTGCTTCAACCTTTGAACTCTACTAATTCCATCCTCAAAAATTGACTGCTATTATCGTGAATAATTCTAAAACCGTTTCAATTTCAACATTAAAATTATTCCAATTATCATTCTGTCTATCCAACCGCAATTCCATTATCTCAATTCTAAATTGTATACAATCACGACAAACGGAAGAACACGTTGCCACTAATTACAACTAGGTCATACTCGTATCCGAGCAAAAATAAATCAGAGCTTAATCGATCTCGATTCCCTTGAACTCCAACGCATCGCGTTTCGCGACTCCGATATAGTCCTCTGTCCTCGCTAACGTCGAAACCGTCTATGCGCGAGCCAACCCGAAGAACCCGGCGCGACGAGGGAGGAAAATACGTCTACATGTATCCAGGCCTCTAAAGATCTCTGACGCAAATGGAGGTTTATAATCCTGTCCGTCCGTTCGTCCATTCGTCCGCCGGTACTCCGTCGCCAGTATATATCTGGGCGAGAATAGAATAATGCCTCGCTCTGAATCCAATGAATTCACGGCGCGCTGTTTTGTTTCCTTTTCGGAACTCCGCCGCGCCCGAGGGCAACCCCATTTCGAAGGCTCCGCGCGCAGTCGTCGCGCCTGATTTCGCGTGTTTGCGACGGTGAATCCGCCCCACCGCCACACCTGAGGTCGTGTACACAGGGACGCGTGCAGCTTTACACTGCGGTTGCATTACATTTGTTCAAAACGGACGGTGGAAATGCTCGTGAATGTAAACGCGCGCAGGAATGCGAGAAGAATTCGGGCAAGAGGGGGACAGCGGCGAATAACGCGCGAGTTTAGACGGTTTCGTTGAATATTCGAGCTCGCAGGCTTCCAGCAACCCCGACGCGCTGTCTGAATATTTTTGACACGAGACCAGCTTGTTACGAGCTCATTACTTTTTCACGGATTCGTTACATACCCGCAACGAGATTTTTAATATTTCATTCCGGTCTCCTTCTCTCCCGTTTCCTGTAACAGATGACGGTTTTTTGCTCGCGTGAATGATTGAGGAAGATTCAGTGTTATTAATGAATGTTAGGATTATCCTGATTAAATATCGGGCAATGAAGATTTTCTATTTCTGTCGACTCCTTTACTTTTCGTTCTTCACCTATTAAAGCATCTTCTAAGATATGATTTTCTTCGAAATGGAGAACAACCGAGGCTCGATCAATGGAGAATTTGTTCCCGTCGCCGGTAACGTGAAATTTGAACAGCGAGAACGGTCCCCGGCGCGTCTCGGTTTATCCTCCGGCGAGGGAAGACATATTGGAGGAATTCCGTGGCGTGTAATCCTTCGAAGTGAAGCCACTCGATCTCAATCTTCGGGCAATTTCTCATTCAGTAATACCACTGACGGATGCTCAACCCCCGGTTTACCCAGACAGTGCAACAAGCGGCTTCTCATTAGGCAAAGAAGCTCGTTGCGTTATTGTCCCGGAATTATAGCGAGCGCCGCGCCCGGATCATTTACATACAACTTCTCGACTGTTACCGCGTCGCGGTTAAGACGGCCTGAGCTCTATTGATGGCCGACAGAATTTACGATCTTCGTCGAGGACTGCGCGGACGCGTTTTCAACAAGCTCCCGAAGACCGGAACTTCTTGCACTCGCTATACCATAATTGCAATACACGTCGAAAGTAATTTCAAGCTGGTGGAATTGAAATTTAGGGTTTTAATATCATCTTGTTCGTCGATGAATATCGTAGGATAAGGATTTTCTAGGATCTTGAATTATTACGTAGGTAGGAAGTTTTGGAATTGAAAAGGAAAAGGATGTTTCCGGATGTACGTGCAAAAATCAGTCGAAAGTTTGAAGTAATATTTCTGCCAGTGACGCATCGTTTCCAAGATAATCGACTTCGAAGAATTTGCGAACGCGTATGAATCTTTATCGAGCCGAAGTAGAAATGGTGTGTCATGAACAGACGCCTTCGTCGATTGGTAACCGAGTGCACGTGCGCTCGATGGATTTCCGACATTTTCTTAGATATTCGGAATCTGGTGATTCGTTAACACTGCGTTACTAAACAATGAAGACTTTAATAAAATAAGCCACAAGTAACACCATCGCTAGGTAACACTGCTTAACTAGAAATTAAATAAAAACTCTAGAATTTCTATTATTTCGTACGATCGTGCACGCATCTAACGACACGAAATAGAGGTCTACGACCTCGAACCTAAGTAGAAATCAGCTAACGAAATATTTAGTTTCCACCGGTAAATTGGTCTCACTTGAAGGCGGCCGTGTAACCTTTGGAATTTCCAAAGCTTCCTCGTCGAAAAACTCCTCCGGCAGTTTCCTTAATTGCACGTTAAACGACGATTCGAAGGGCCCTCGAGCAGCCGAAAGATCCCGCCGCATTAAACGCGGGAGCACCGGTGACTTATTCACGTCGGCGTTGCTTAGAGCGGCGCCGGTATGCACGCGCGACTCCTGGAGCAGCGGCAGCGGAACAGGCGCGGCCGTTTCATTAAGCGTTTTTAGAGGGCTTTGACAGCGCGGCCGGGTTGCGGGGATGAAAAGTTAGTCAAAGGTTGAGAGCCGACCTACCCCGTATTCAGGGAACACCTCTGAACAAATTCCCTTCCCTTCGCCTCCCATCTCCTAATTAGAACAAAGTAGAAGGTCTTCCGAGCTGTCTGGTGTCTTAAAACTTTCGCATTCGGTCTTCGTTTCTTTAATCGTTTGTCCCCGCTGTCGGACTTTCCGCCGTCGTGTTTCACCTCGTACTGCCGCCTCGCGAATGCATCCCTTAACGCCAGAATCCCACCAAATAGGTCAACGCGAATCATCCCTGAGTCCTTCTACTAAATTATTTATTTCGATATACGTATTCCGAAATATTTGCTCTTTAACGATTTGCTAGATAAAAATATAACTCGCAATATGTTTCAGCGCTCGTTAAAAAGTTCATATGGCAGAATTTTTAATTAAATTGGAAACAGCGTTTCGGTTCGTAGGAACATTTTAATGAAAGTAGAAACCGCAGGATACGAACGTTTAAAGCTAACACTGCAGAAGATTGAAGACTGTCTCATAGACTCCGGGTCTCCTGCAAATTCCGAATCTCCTTTATAAATCCGAGGAGTCTGGAATTGAATCAACTTAAATCTACCCTTACAAAGTCTCAACCTTTACTGGAAAACTTCTCAGCTGAAGGAAAAACCCGAAAATTCCCGAAACATTCTCGCAGAATTGAAAGACTATAAGCCCACTTTTCGCGGAGCAATTGCAATCTCCGTTGAACGCGTTCGCAATATACGCGAAATCAAACCCTTCCACCTGCTCCCTCCTTTTTACCTAGAGCCTCTCTCGAGTAAGAACGTCGGCGTCGCCGAGAGGACAGCTTCAATTCCCAGTTCTATGCTCGCGTTTAAAACACATGGCGTGGAAAAGC